GAAATATATATAGGACTGTTTGTGGGTTGTCCAAAAATACTAGAACATCATTTTGTCACTTGAAGGCACTGGAATAAGAATCTGCAATGAAATAGACAGTACGTATTTTGTTTTTTGCCTCAAATATTTTACTCTCGAACAGATATATAGTGTACCGGCAAAATGCATGAACAACGATAGGGTTAATTTTTACATTTGATCTGTTCCATGAACTGACTACGAAAAACGGAACTGAATATCATGTAGTTGTAGAAATGACACATTCTAACAAAGGCTTCAATCGAATTCGTAATGGCTGCAGAAATAAGGTGCACGACATAATTCCGCAGCTTGGTTTGGACCAGGTGTGCATCAACGCAGCTGTCGGAGGACAGCGAATCTTCATCGAGAAAAAATGTCAAGAACCAGAGGTAAATATAGGCGACTTCACACAATATGGTCACAGCTGCTGTGCAGAAGATGAGTCTGTTGATGTTGCCGGAGTCTTTGGTTTTCTCCTGCTGGGCGACAGCATGTACGGTCATTTTATTCGCCTGGGAGGGGGAACCTGCAGATGGCAATATCTTCTTTCGCTTCTTGACAATGGCAACGATTTGGATGGAGAAATAGAGCATCAAAATGGATATAATCAGCGGCAGTACGATGTCGCATGTTAAACCCATAACTCGATGCAATGGTGCGTCGTAAAATGCAGAACTTCGGAAAGCGAATAATTTCTCACCGGCCCACGTTTCATTGACAGCCTCAACTCGGTACTGCAGGGGAAGGTACAACCTAAAGACAGCCATTGTGAGACTGAGGAGCAGCGATGTGATAAAAAATCGTTGCTTCCACGTGTTACTTCTACTTTTCCAATAGAAGGGCTTCACCAGCATCACGTACCTTGTGAGGGTGAGGCACAACGAGTTTAAGTTACTGAACAGAGAAGAAACGTTAATAATGCCCATCGTTATTAGCACTATATACGGCAGTGCTGCCCATTGAGTGCCGTAGGAACTGGACGTGGCACTAAAGATGGTGAACGGTATTCCAAACACGTTGAACATCATGTCCGATACAGCGAGAGCGACCATAAAGTTCTTAAACGTAACACCTTGACTATAACTTTCATGAGTGATGGTGATCAAAATACACGCCGAGCCGATTATACCGAGAAGGGCCATGATTATCTGTAGAATTGGTGCGACTGTAGTTTCAAGACTATATCCAAACAGATAGTAGTCATAGACGTCGTCCACCTCGCTCTTGTTGAATATGTAGCCTGACGGCAAAATAATGCTGACATTTTCAGGGGAACTTGCGATTAACATCCACAGCGCCTTGGCCCGACATTTTTCAATAGCGAACTCTTCCGAAAAGTTCATTTTCTTTCAAGCTAGTCTAAAATAAATTTATACAGTATGCTAGTAACATTCATGTCTGAAATTAATCGCCTGGTGAAAGTAATTCAAAACAAAAAGTTAAATGGCAAATCCGAAAATGAACACTTTTGAAATATCCGACAGTAATCACAATCCTTTAGCATATTCGACTTATGGGCAAAGAAAGGCCATATCACTCGAACACTGTGAAGTCTTGAATTGGTACTCATGAATTTTGTCATATTCCAAGAAGACCACAACTGCTGAAATAGCATTTGGAAGCTATTGCCCTTGGAACTGGAAAGAAAGTGTTGGCTCTGGAAATGAGTACGTGGAATCTGGCATCTTTGCATATTGTGTGAAGAGTGCAAGCTCAGGGGGAGAGAAACACTATGATGTCATTCGACATGTGATATAAAATAATTTTTCCTGACTTATTTAGAAGGGAGACAATGTAAACTTCAGTTTTATGACTTGTCGGTGACCCTCTCTATACGAAACAGATGCAATTTTGCAAGGACTCTGCAAAGATATATTTTATTTGTCTCCCAAATCCATTTCTAACGATGCTGAGATTTCACTTCCACCTCGCTCGTGTGTTTTTATCTTCTCTCGACGTCTGGGTAGCATAACAGAAAGATTTAACCACGCTTTGGCCAGTAATTAGTACCAGCTCCTCCTACAACGTTTCTATTCGCTTTTTCTGTGTCCCTAGATTACCTGTCAAATTATTACTGTCCAGCAGACTTACTTTGGTTCTGAAAGTTCAACTTCCTGCCAAAGTGGCAATTCTCAGCATAAAGGAATGCTTGACAGCACAAAACAGGGTAAATTGCGTTCTCCCCATCTGCTACCGTTGCCTCAAGTCCTGTCATGATCTTTGAAACGCACCACCAACGAGGGCTTGGTGAAGCTCTTTGTGACCAATCACCCATTCGGCGCACTGATTCTTAATCACGGAATCCGTAGTGAATTTGTCATTTGAACCCTGATTGTTTTGGTAGCATCTACCGAAATCCCACTGGCTGCGGGTATAAATCTGGAAAAGTTTCAGGACAGAGAAAAGTACCTTTCAATGCTAAGTGTCGAACGCTGTTTGGAACTGCAAAGGTGCGGAAGTAGAAAACTGGACAGAGTACACTGCTTGCAGAGACACTGTGTCAAATGGAAATGAATTCAGCTGTAATACAAGAGATGCATTGGCTTATGACCAATGTTTCGAACGATGGCTATTGTAGCTTCTGTTACACATGGAATACAGGGCGTTGCTAACAGAAGAGGTGGTGTAGCACGGGCAGTTAATACTAATGCAGGTACTCTAGTACACTGGAGTAGCACAGTGTAACTCTAGCACACTGGAGCGCAGTATCACATCGAATCACTTGGTGTCATGATAGCCAATTTCCATGCCCCTGTCGACGTTGCTGCAGAAGCAATAAAGGAATTTCATGCCACTCTCAATCTTTCGGCGTAACTCTGTGCAACCCATGTCAACTTGATTATTCTGGATGGCTTCAATGTGGAAGTGGGAACAGAGAAGGAGCGACGTAGATATCTGGAATCGTACGGTATTGGCATGGTAAATAATATGAATGAACCATCATCAGAACCGCGTGAAAATCGAAATCAGGGATAAAAGTTATGCTAATTATCACACTGGATAGTTAGCTGTCAGCTGAGTCAAAACAAAGCGCAGCCACAAAGGGCGCTCTCTTCGAAGAGCATAACCGTATACCTCATCAGTTCTATTATTACCACTTCAGAAAACCACAGTCTTTCTGTAATTCGAGGGTCAAAGACTTCAGTCTCTGAGTAGAGCTTCCAAAGTGATAAGAAAAGCTCAGACTATGTAGGGAGATACGTATAAAACAATTTATGGTCATTTAGGCAAGGCAGTTTTCTTGAAAAGACAGGTTGAAATATTGGTATACTCTGCTCAGAAAAACGATATTATGACTTTGTTCAAAAATATTCTGTTTCCTTCCCAAAATGAAGTCTCTGTTAACATCGGTTGTGAAAGGGGACAGGATCCCAGAGACGACATTGAGATATGGAGAAAATATTTCAGTCACTGCTAAAAACTGATGCGATTGTGATACATGATTCACTGTATGGTATAATATCTTGACGAAAGTTTTATACTAATACCTAACTGGCGACCGTTGAAGAAGTAATTGTAGTATTAAATCAAATGAATAATGGCAGTGCTGCAGGAATTGGTTAATTACAACCAGAATCATTTAAGGAACCTGTCAGAAATGGAGTGGTGACATTGGTGAATTTCTTGGATTATTCTGGCAGAAAGATAAAACCAGAATGACAATGGGAGCGCACAGTCTGGAACCGAAACATATCCTCACTCCAAGAGAAACAGCAGATGCTGGTTCAAGAGGTTATGAGGTAGCTACTAGACATGGTTGGATCCGTTAAACAAAACGTCAGGGCTCTGAAATTCCTAACCTCCACAGGAAGGAGCTGTTCTACTCAGCTGTAGACGTCGCGTTATGCGCTCAGTTTGAGTTCTGTCAGAACCCAACCTGGACGGCACAATCATTGAATGGAAGCCTATTAACGGAAGATTGGCAATAATCCGTCCGAAGTTACAACAGCTAAAACTTTGACCTTGTCTAAGGTCCATGTGCTCAGTTTGAAGGGAAAATATGAGACCCTGCTGGACGAAATAAAAGGCACTCTCTACGAAGAGCCACCCACTACGCAAGACATCATTCTGATGGATGATTTCTAAAGTGCATATCTGAGCAGACATTGAAAAGTGGAAAGGCGTGATTGGAACGAACGGCCCTAGCAATCTGAACAATAACGATTTTCAGTTATTGTGTTTTTCTGTTTTGTGCAAACAAACTGTCTGTTATAATCACCATATTCAAACGTCGAAATTTGCATCAATATAGTTGGCATAGGAAAGCTTGCGCAGAGTAGTGAGTCTCTGATTTGATGATCACATTTTCTGAGTTATGACTCTCGGTCATTAATGTTCGTGATAAGCCAGATTCAGAGTTATCAATCGATCATTACTTTATTGTTGGCACAATTCACTGTAAATGATGGAGTACTGTACTGAAATCTGGCGGAGGAAGCAACCAAAGAATCGAATTAGTGAAATTATTTTCTATGGATAGGAGGGCAGAATTTGCAACTAACATCGCACGTCGGTTTGAACAGAACCGAATGGAGGCTGCCTAAAAGGGGTTTACTCGGCGATGCCATTGAATGCCATCTACAGGTCAGAACTCCCTGATGGACGTGAGAGGTTCAGCTGGCTACCACATGGAAGAAAGTTGCATTTCACACATAACTTGAAAGCAAAGAGCCTTCAATACGAATTCAGAACGAAGGCAGCGGAGAACGCAGTGGCCAAAGCGAAAGCAAATTCATGGAAAAAGTTCCGTGAGGTGCTGGAGTCGAATTTCCAGACGCAAAACAAGCCATTCTCTCAGGCCATCTGCAGCCTTCGAGACAGAAAGAAGGATAGTCTAATAGTTATGAAGGATAAGTCTGAACGCCCTCTTACCAATAATCAGAACATACCTCAGTAATGAAGAGAAGATTCTGAGCAACTCCTTGTCCCAGAGCAACCGCAAGAAAACTTGAAGAGCAGCAGGAAACTGATATTAGCTCATCAGTAAATAAAGTCGTGAAAGCCGTAAACAGATTAAAAGACGACAAGGCCACTGGAATTGATGAAATTAGCGCTGAAATGCTTGAAACATTGAGAGAACAAGACATTTACTGGCTTACACGTGTCTCTCAAACTGCAATGGCTACGGGCAAAACCACCAGCGGGCTGAAGAGCGGAGTTTGAAGAGCCCTGTTCAGGAAGGGAGACAGTAGGGATTGCTTCAATTATTATGGCATTACATCATTAAACCTCCCGGGAAAAGTCTACCAAAGGAGCTATAAGGGAGGTACCGCGAAATGACCGGTTACAAAATACAAGAAGAACAACGAGG